TTTATCATAACTCTTATCGATTTAAGGAGTCATGTGATAATTAATTACATCAAATAACTCTTGCTTTCGGTGTGTTAATTCCTTGATTAAGTGCTATCTAATCAGTGCGCAAAATGTGCTGAAGTCCATGGCGGGATAGTAAATCCATGTGGAAATATAGGGTTAATAGGGGATTAGAGACGGGACAATCGGCCGCCTTCGGGCGAAAAAACTAAAAACGGGATGTTCTGCGACGTAGTTCAATATAACCAGCTATTAGCGGACTAATGGGCTACAATTTGAGTGCAGTAGCTGATTCGTAGCGCCAAATGTAGCCGGCGACGTGCTACCTGGGAATGCATCATTTATATCTCCAAGCATATTCCATCCCATAAGGGTTTTGTTTAAATGCGTTAACAACGGGAATATTTATTATTCATGGATTCGCATGAATACTATTTTTCCAAAGGCAGGGTGACGCGATGATAGCTGCAGTTGACGTTTATAAGTTATAAGTACTAATAAGCACAGTGCGAATTATGGGTATATTTGAAGCGTGGGCCTGTATTGGTGAATATTGTAGTCTTTGCTTAAGACAAGTTCAAGTTTTATTACCGAACCCGCTCAGAACAATGGCAAAGTAGTGCGTGTCAATCCTTGGCCCAGCATCATCGCTCGAGCTTTTTCCATTCTGCATTTCCCACTTAAGCCGCATCGGATTCAGAACTTATCCTCCTCCTATGCCGGCCAGAAAATCACACGACCGGTCGATCGGATAGTTCAGCCACAACAAAGGATCTGATGCTTGTCCAGTTAACCCGAGCGAGAAACCACACCTTGTTTACAGTCGCGAACCTTAGATAGACCCAGTGGACTTCGACTGCACAGGAGTGTCATCACCACACGGTTGGACTGTACGTGACAACGAGAGCATTAAAAGAGTACAGGGTGGTAATTAGACTGTCTTGTCTTGGGGTGAGGGATTCCAAGTGACGCAAATCGCGGCAGCAGATCGCAAAGAGAGTTACATGGAATTCAAGTGTTCGACGTCGAGTGAGAGGACTAAAACACTGTGAAACCATGGGGCCATTGCACTGTACTCAATGTCTTTGCAGCTTTAGTCTTCACGAATTCCTTATTTTTACCCTAACACTGATCTAACCATTCTAATCTTCCTTCTGTCCGTTCATCCAAAGAGGCAGTCCAGAGACAGCAACCACAACTGCCGCACGAAAATGCATGGTAAATGGTTGTAGAAGATGAAACCAACTCTGAACCCATGAATATCAGGGGAGTCGCAAAGGAAAGCAAGNAAAGCAAGTAAGACTGACGAGACACCATTGAGATGATCGTGTGGCGAGATCGGAAGGCAGTACGAACGCATCGCAATGAAGCTTCCGGAAAGCCGACCGAGAGACGAAGATCTCCGTAGAATTGACTGAATGCAGGAAACCTAACAAATAAACACCAAAGAATGACCCAAAGTGCGATTGATGTGTGATACCTAATTGCGTGTTTTACTGAATATAATTCACAACTCACCTTGTTTCCACCGTGGAGTATTAGTTCGAATCAGAGTATAACTCCAATAGGGACGCATTCCCTCTCTGTGATAATGACTCTCCGAGGAGACATACAATGGGGAAACCCTCCAAGGAAAGAGTTAATATAGGAGGTGGATGCATCCCTAACTATAATATTTGTCAGACAGGGATCAAAGCGAAAAGACATCGTTTTATAAACAACTCAAATTAAACTGTAGGACCGACGAGATTAGCTGGATCATAAAACCGGGACTCAGGTCTCATTAGGAATGAAACAACGAAAAGAACAGGTTAAGGAATGCGAATCAGAAACTTAATTTCCAAGCTGTACATCAAGGAATACGACCAAATGTGAGATTACGTCAGTCACCATCCTACCCAATCAGAGACAGAAGAAAGTAAATTGAAGGAAGATGAAAAGGCACTTTGGAGGTTCAAACTAATTGATGGACAACGTCGATAGTTGGGGACAAAAAGAAAACAAGGAGTTGTCATAAAGATCGTACGAGATCCAAGAGCAAACCGCAACAACTACACTATTTGCAAACGCAATGGGGTCAAATGATTCATTCATTGTCTCAAGTAACGAGAGGATAGGGATGACAAGCGAGGCAAGATCACAGATGCACCCCTATCTTGTTCCGTTTTAGATTTCTTATTTGTAAAATAGGTAACTGGTCGATTTACTGAACACAAATCACGGCAACATCCGACCAAGTATAGCACGCATGAATAGTCATACAAAACAAAATACCGCACGCTCACGCTACACAATATTCATTACAATGGTGAAAAACATTTCAGCCCGCACACAGGCAGAGTCGCATTATTCTGACCATGGTTATTTGGAAGTGTTAGCGACATCACAGTTAGGTGCACAAGGTGCTAACGTATACATGCGGTTTTCCATTGATCTCGTCTGATATGGAGCACTTTAATAGCAGGCACTCTATCATTCGACCCACATGCAGAGTTGTAAAAGAAATGCAGCAACTCATCAAACCTGGTTCATGCACCTTTCAACCAGGTATTCAACCGCACACACCCACTACTAGTTTCATTGTTAAATCATCCAAAACCATTGCAATAAATCAGCTCCACTCAAACTCGAATTTTGTTGACCTTTACTGTTAAGCGATTCCTTGACCCGAAGTCACCAATTGAAAGGCCTTGCAACTAGAAACTATTCACAGAAACACCTGGATAGACCAGTTTAATATACTAACGATTGGTTGACGAAGCCTAACTACTGAGATCCTCACTGCTCAAGTCGTGAAGTTGATGAAGAAGACCTGTGGTAGAACCTCAGGAATCTGCATTGAAATTTGAAACTGATTCAGATGGCGAAGTCAATCATTGGAGAGCAGATATTTGGGTAACGCGTAACGACTTTGGTGTGAAAGTTGCCTTTCGACTAAAAGTGACGTCAAAGGACACAGTACCAAAGACCCTCATCTTGCGCCCTACATGCTCTTTTGAAACAGTGGTAATGGGCAATAAACGAGATCAAACAAAGTAAGTTTGCGCAGATTACGGAAACATCAATATTCAGTAATCGAACATGATTTGTAGAAAGCCTGGATGCGTAATGACAATGGCCAATGAAGATGTCAAAAGAAAGATCATATTTCAATGGTACGATTGGCGCTGAACTTAGAAATAGCTTACCTACCTACATTTCCAGATAAGGTTGCCTTTTGATGGGGTACTTAACTGACTCTATCACTTTAATAAGTCAAAATTAAGAAGTCCCTTGACACGTACAGGTAGACGCCACCGCAATACTGTTACAAGTATCTCTTGTACAACTGTACAAAGATAAGCAAAAGGGAAGATAAATTCAGATATTGGATGAACTCTTCCATTAGCCCTCTTTTCGAAGTCCTTCAATAGGCAAATGTTAAGTCACTACGAACAACCGATGCCTAATCCACCAATACGTTTGGGAGATTAGTTATTAGCGGGCAGCTTGAACGAAAAATCATAGGACGTCGATAGGCACCTTCCAGAACAGCGGAGAGCACTAAAACTGCTGTGGAACGTGAAAAGTTCATTATAATGAGAGATAGAAAGAAATCCCAAGTATATGCAAAATTAAAACAATGCTTGACACTCTGAAATTCCACGATTAGCGACGCCGAAAGGGCCATCGGAGGTTCATCCATCCAACCGTCCCATCGTCCAGTCACGTAAGCCAAGACACCAAGCAAGAGCATGGACAAGTTCTCGGTACTAGTCAGCGATAATAGATCCGATTAAGTGTGTTGGCGGCCAATTTGAGCCAGACGGGCGACATAAGGGATAAGTGGATGGGTGCGAGGACAGGGAAAGACGAGCAGATTTAATCGACTGGGTCGTGGTGGTGCTAGTAATAGTAACAGCGATAATACCTGATTGTGTAAATACATGAACTTAGTTCTAGAGAGATAGAGCGATAGATAGATGATTATACAGGAGGAAGATAAAAATACAAATTACGAGTCGAAAAAATAGCAGTTCATGAAAGCGACGCGTTTGTGGACACAGGGACAGGGGTATGCCGGGTGAAGAAACACACTGAAGACAATTTGCACCAATGGCGAGAAGCAAGTGGTAGTATTTACACCGAAACATGATTACAGCGTCCAGTTTTTAAAGTCAACTGTTTGCTACCATGAACCAAAATAGCTTTACAAGGATGGAGAGGAACAGAGAACAAGCCCTCATGCACGTGTAAAGAAGGCAATACGGCGATCAGTCTATTGATAATATCAACAGAGCCGACTATCATTCCGAAACAGGCGGCGCAACCGCCAAGGACAGGTGACAAATGGGAATTGTTCTGATGAGAATACCTGTAAACAAGGCATGGTAGGTGTGTGTGCACATGACTGAGCGAATGACGGTGAAACAACTATGTACAAAGAGAGAGTTCGATGTGACAGATGTCAAGGCGGGCAATAACAGATGGTCACCAACCAAGCGGAAAGTTACATGAATCAATGTATACAGAACAGCGGCGCCTGTGATACGACGAGGACAGAAATCAAAGGGGCATATCGGTCAATAGGGACAAGGGAATGTGCGGTCTGAACCAAATTACTACAGGCAACAATAAGGATTAAGTGCAAAGGTAGGCGGGTGGGGCCAACAGCTGTGCCGATGCCCCAAAATCGCCCCGCTGAGAATCCGAGATCGGATTGGCTGCTGAAGGCCTTGGACAACAAATGCACGGTCGGATATCTTAGTAGAAAATTGGGGATATCGTTGCTGCCGTTGCGAGTGTTAATCGGTAAATGGATGTACGAGAGATGAACTAGGGCGGGTTAGTACATCAGAAAGTTGCGCATTTGTGTCCAGGATAGCCTGAGCGGAAGGGATTGTTATTGAACTCCATAGTTCTAGAAGATGAAAGCGATACGTCTCGTAGTTGGCAGGGGAGCCCCCCCCCCAGGGTCAAATTGAAGCAGACACGAGAAGGTTCTCGAAAACGGAAGGTCAATAGTCCGGGTCAGACACTTCTGTCTCTGCACCAGATTCGCTTTCTTCCCCACTGGAGCTACCATGGGCCTGAAAATGGAAACAAAAGTCAGCCGGTAAAGAAAGGTAGCCAGAATACGTCAATGGTTGCCGTAATATTGAAGAGTCAGAATGTGTAATACAACCCCAGAACAGCGCCTTTTTTTCAAATGCCGTGAATGCATATATTCAGTGCGGCTAAAAGTTTTAGGAAAATAAATCGGCCTCAAAAAGTGACCAGATTCGCGAAAAAGAACAAATGATTCATTATCAATTGCTATTCACAACCTGGAATACTTAATTATAATGCGTGGCTAGGCAAACAAATTTGATCAGCAGAACGCAGCACAATTTCGCAATCCGTGGTAAGAATGGAAAATGAAAATAATTGATGTTCTTTCTTGCAAATATATCCATACATATTCATACAACCTTAAGCTTGCACATTAAATTCAGACGGACATCTGAAGATATCATTGAGTATGATAGCTCTCAGAATTGTTAGTGGTTTGAGTGCCTCTTTACAACTGCGTGCGGGAACTTGAGAAAACAAAAATGCTTAGTGATTGAAATGTGGGTACAAAATCGTGAAAACGATGCATGGGGGAGGAGCGTGAGAACAATTATATGCGGCACTCAGCCCCATCATCTAAATATTCAGCTACTGAGCGGACCTTTACGAATGTGCCTTGATATTAATCTACCTAGTCCACTTCGGACTTTTGCGCACTGGACACCGCTATGCTTTCCGTAATTCATACCGACTGGGTAGTTCTCCTAAGGGACACCCGCAACACAGCACGTATTCTAAACATATGCGGGAAATAGTTAGACAGTGAAATCGCATTGCTTATAGTGAGATGAGATAAACTAAACAGACAGCACTTTGATGTCACTGAACATGTTGAAGGCAAGTCTATTATTCTTTAAACTCGCATGATTGACCGATGAGAGCAAGGCCCTTTGAAAATATTAAAAATCGCAGACACAATAAGTTGACTGTAAGTAGTAAATGATTTGAAGCAAAAACTGTTATCTATTAATTGCCTGGAGACAAAAATACAGTTAGGCAGTGAATCGCCGTTGTTTTCGGAGCTGAACAGTCACAACCATAGGTCCAGAGCTCAGTGTACATGAATTGCAGGTCACAGAGGCAACCATGCCATTTACCGTACTACGAAATAAACTTGCCACAGCATAATCTATTTCTTTGACATCCACAGAAGCTAATTCCTTATGAGAACATTGATTACAATTCTGAGAAGTATTACTGAATGGAGAAAGCTGTTGAGATTGATTAGCAAATTATCATTTGTGATAACTGGTCCGTCTCAGTACGTACGCAGGTTGGTTGATCGATACTGAAAGCCATTCAAACATGTGCTGCTACAGATTTGGTTGTGAAGGCATATCAGTAGGCCACTGGAAATGGAGGCTGGCTGATACACGGATAACAGGAATATCAGTTGGATAGCTACTGGGAGGAAATCCATTACGAAAAATCAAGGATCCCGAATACACTAACGTACCAAATTTACAAACGAAGCAGACTGATTAACATTGCCTCTACTGACCGCCAAACAATGAATGCGTGAGAACCAGGTTAACTTTACGTTCGGTAGTGATAGCAATGACCACATTTTTACTCGTCGAAGCATTTCAGAATATGGATTTATCAGTTTTCTGCAGTTTACAATCACGGGTCAAAAATTCAGTTCCAATCGCTATTACGTCTAAATTGAGGTTTATTAATTTGGATTAACTAGTTGTCCATCTCTCTCGACAACTCGATTGGCGACTAAGAGTAAAAGCCGTACAGGGAGACACGAAGCCAAACTTACCTCTACCTGCATTGGTATGATTAGATCATTGGTTTGTAGTTCACATGTATAGCAGAGGTGCCGGGGCAATCACACCGAATACAAGTACGAACACGAAACGAGTAAAAGAATAGCATCGAGGTGTATTGGGCACCTTGGACCTTTGACTCCGCCCAAAGGGCGTATGATTCGGTCCCTGATGGATTGCGGTTTTCGTACAACGTCCCGCTGCCTTGAGGGTCAAGCTTTGGCCAGCCAAAGGCTCTGGTTGTGGATTCCTCGAGAAAATTCACCTGCTTTGACCTGGGCACCCTGGCAGTATCCCACCCACATGTAGATTATGGAACGTTTTCCTTTTTCATAAGGATTATTGTACCATGATTTATTTGGCACACAGTCTGAACTCAGACGTGTGAATATATATATATATATATTAGCAAAATGATTTTAAAAAGTGTATAAATAAAATACATTGAGGAAAAACTACGTACCGTCCAGCGCCGTCGCCGTTTACGTTTTTGTCGAACCGGGCGACTATTCATAGCTCGGCCTGGCGTACGAAGACTGGTGGTTGGTTTGCGCTTTTTCGCTGGTGCAGATTGGGCCAACATAAGGCGTGATGCTCCACCAGCCTGTACATCATTTATCAGAAAAAATAAAGGTATTTAATTAGAATTATATCAACACTGTCGAAGTTTCTAGCATTGGTACCATTGCAAACAGCACAACGGTTATCTGGAATAAATAAGCGTTCTTCTATTCGTGAGTCAGACATGCCTGAGTTCTAATAATCAACTTTAGTGTTTCATAAGCATAGATGCTATCAACCGAATTGTCGTACGATAAGTTAGTAAACGTGATTAGAACTTGAAGTTACTCCTGATAAACAATAAATTCACTCAGTTGGTGAGGTGCAGCTTGGCTGTAGCTCAGCTCATCAACACACCTCTATTATTGTGTAGTTCACTACTCCAATTTACAGAGTGTGGGTAATCGGTATCCATAACCGAACAGTAGGTCCTCGTGACTGCAAGTGTTCACCCTGTAACTGTTTATCACATCAAGATAAGCAAAACTACCAAACTCGAGTGACCAGTAGGAAATAAACAACGATTTTTCAAGAACTATAGAATAATTTACAACAAATGAACAGTTGAGATAAGAACAAGCAGGGTTAGGAGGTTTTCGACTGATAAGGAGTGGGTCAGTCATAAAAAAGTGATGAACAAAGCAGATACACCGAACATACGTTTGAATCATCTGAGTCGTTTTCCTCATCCGATGATTTGTGAGACTGGGGAACAAGGGTTCTACTGGGTCGGAATCGCGATGAGGCAGCTGAAAAACGAGAACAAAAGGTGAAATAATGACAGCTTCGAATTATGTATCGGTGGCGAATAAAATATGAAGATAAAAATGAAGGTAAACGAAAAGAAAAATAGTAATTAATTCTGGCCATCCCATTGGTGGTATATCGCCTATAAACGTGACACGGCAGTTTGACAAAATGTAAAAGTGCATATGCCTGAGTCTGACAAAGACTTAATTTTCCATTCACCCTGGACAATGCATACACCTCTCTGATCAGTTAGTTCGTTTTTTTCCACTGTTACCGATAACAAATTCAGCGAGTTCCATATTCAAAATCTATTCCAAAGAATGAGCGCGACTTGGGACATGCGTTAGGAATGTCACTAAATAGACAGCTAGGACGTAAGATGATTCCAGAGACAAGCAGAGGTTGGAAGGTCAAAGGTCGAATTAAAACCCGGTATGAGGGTACGCAGTGACCAGGAGAATCGGACGAACAAGTAGTATTAGACTAACCGACTGGAGACGTTGGGATGGGCGTGATCGAAACACTGAGTGATATGGCTGGGTATCGTAAAGTGGTGCTTGTGCACCGCCTCCATTTTTTCGTGATCTCGGTCTACATGAATTGCTTTTAAACTTCTTTCTGGCCTCCTACTTCTTCATTCTCTTGGGTAGTAAAACAGCAGCACGAAAATGTAAGGTTAATGGTGGTATAAAGTGATCTGAACTTTTTATCTTTGTTTTGGTAACGGATTCAACTTTTCATTCGCTTGAGTTTCGTTTTGTTCGAAGAAAAATTGAGTTGAAGGACAGCTCAAATAGGAGCACGAAAGCGCGGTGTTAACGGATGTGTCCACCAAACTGGAACTGAATGTGTTCTGATGCGTCCGTATTGTACTTGCTTCAATTCATATCACGTGGCTCACAGTTGTGTACAATGCACTACCAAAGCAAGACGATAAACCCTCGGTGCACATGGATGAGAGCCAGTAGGGGTCAGCGGAATTCGATTCGCGCGTACGTTTGCTGATGGGTAACAATCGCGTGAGAGCATGGAAAATGTACAGTGCGTGCTTAAAGGAATAAATGCTCACCAGATTGCAGAGGCTGGGTAGTTGCTTGTTGATCGATCACAGGTTGAGTGGAAGCGCCCACCGTAGTTTGTGCGGGGGCAGGAGTGGTTAAAGACGTGTTCAAATCGTCTATGTCATCCTCGCCAGGTGGGTCAATGGTGAGTATGAGTTTCCGGAACTCAAGATAATCATGAACGAGGGATTGCATCTCACCATCAAAGCGCTCCTCCGCACCAGGCTCATCAATATCGTCTAGAACCGGTGGCCAAGCAGTTGGAGCAATCTCCTTGCCTTCTGACTCTTTACGTTCTGCCAGTTTGGAAGCATTAGATCGCAGTTTGTGTACTTCTGCTGCTGCAGCTTGTAAACATGGGCCTGGGTTGAACCGTATCCCCGCTCTTCGCGTGAGTGGTCTTTCCCAGAGCTTTGGACTGTCTGTGGGTGAGTACCGCTGAATTTTACTAAAACGTTGAAATTAAGATTGTTTAATGAACGTTTTGGTATGAGTACCGCAAAAAGTAAATGAAAAACAAACGTATAACATGACGGATTCATTACTTAAAGCAACGTGATTCAAGACATCGAATATTCCCTACAGAACAAATTTAATTCAAATTACTTCGTAAGACTAGACTTCTATAATCTATACAACAAAAAGCATTGGTCTTCAGGAGACCTATTTTCACATGAACGAATGATGGAAAATTAACTGTTGCATCAACCAGTTAATTTTTCATCACGAAGTAAGAACGGGGAAATTGCGGGGAAATGATCGTGAAGAAAACAAACCGGGGTGTACGAGAAGTCGTTCTTCGATACAACTGACCTGTCTGTTATACTGTATACTTCTTTCAAATACTGTTTCAAAGTCAACAGAAGTACACAGGCCCGACTGGCTCGGATGGCATCACGAACGATAGGTAAAGCAGTGCTTCGTGAGTCTGCCAGTCGCATCAACATGGCATTAGCATCCTCTTCTTCTTCTTCTAGCGGACCAAGATCGACGTGAGGCATGGCTGGAAACGTAGAGCAAAACGGCCGTTGATTTTCGATGACCATGTTAGGGATATAGGTGGAGTTGCACAAATAGTAAACGGAAACGGCCGCAGAGAGAACAAAAGACATAAGAAACAAGTCTCACTCATCTCAAGGATTGTGAAAATTATTCCTGGATTTTCGTATTTGAGATATTTTTGTCATTAAATGGTTTATGCTTTATAAAAAGTACAAATATAATCCCAAAGTTTTGTAGTGTTGTGTGTAGCTCAACTATCGTAAGCGGTACTGCCACAGCGATTCTACCGATCTTGAAGAGTAATCACCGGGAGCGGATGAGGCTATAGTCACTTAAGGTTAACCAAATCCGGAGCTCTTCGTCTCTCAATTGTTCATTTACCTGTGGCGATTAGGAATATCGGTGATGAAATCTTGTGCCAATTGTGCTGATGTTTTGGATCATACAAAATATCGTTCGGGATGATTGGAGTACAAGGCAGCAATCGGGTAAATTACTGTAGTTGATTTCTTTGTCTTTACTTATTTATTTAAAAAAATAACGGGAACACTTCATGGTAGTGATTGGAGACGCACACAACGATTATCGAGGTAGGTAGATATCATTATACTTGCATCGCCCAATACCATGAGGTTCACCTCAAGCCTCTAAATTCGAAACATGTACAATAATAAGTGTCTGGTGAAAACGGAAGCCAAGTGAACCCAGGTAGTGGGCACCGAAAACGCGTTAAGACTTTAGGAACACAAGTCAACCGACAGTCAGACCTGACAGCAAGTAAAAACGGTAGCAATCCAGTTCTCGGTTTCTCTTCGGGCCTCTTACCATTTCCAGTCAACTTGAGGCAGAATTTTCGAAACTAGAATCGGACAAGAGTCATCCGAAGTGTACTTTCCCATAAATTTTTCCCTACCACACCTATAAGTCAACGGACATTTGTGTGGTGGCGCAGCAGCGCCCCAAAACGACCAGGATTTTATACATCCGCAGTATACACCTAGACTAAATCAATACGGCAATAACAATTCATTTACAAAATAAATGTCCACTGAGCACTCTCCAACATAGGCCCCCACGGTCTGCGTTCATCTTTAATGATCTGTGAAGACTTGAAAAATATTTCTATTATGCGAATAAAACGTCCCAAAACCGTGGAGCATAAAATAGTCAGCACTCCCAAAGCCAGTGTACGTCAGTTGAAGATAAACGACTAACGTTTTGTTTAATAATTTGTATTAGCTTCGCGTTTCGGGTGATGGTGGGGTAGTGCTTTGGTGGCTGTGAACAGCGCGTTTATGACCCCATGGCTCCAGGTTAGACTAAGGTCACCGCCATCCAGCATTCCTGTCGTCTGGTTCAATACCAATACCAATATCGGGGCCTTATGTGGTCAATCACTTCAAGTCCCGGGGCTTGGGTTGCCGGTTTCCATCCCTGAATAGCAGGTATTTGAGACTATGGGGTTCCCCCAGTTTACTGTTCATCACAAGAATGTATGTAATTAAAAAAGTAAACTAATCTGCTCTGGGGATCACGCTAGTGATGCATTTTTGAATGTAGGGTGGAGGTATGGTTCTGTGTTCTTAACTCAGCCCAGCCTCGGCTCTTGAATTTTCGAATATTATTCCCTTCTATGCTGCTGTCCAGAAAGTCCTAATTATTTTCTATTGGATTGAAAATCAGCGAATAGCTTCATAAATGGAGGAAAACCCCTCCGGTATGGTTCACATTCTTGCGCAATCCGAGAGTGAAAAGGCCTGATGTCATCTTGCAAAATTCACCTTTCTGTGATGAAAATCTGAGGGAGCATGTGACTGTTCATATCCGTTCAGTAACTGGCCCCAGTTGTGTTAGTTCGCAATAGAAGTGTAGGGGAAACGCTAAACCATGATTTATGCATCTCCCGTGTGACTGCCGTGCACGAATTCTTTTATAGCGGCGTCTCAAAATGAACATGGCCTCACCAGTGAAAATCAACCATCGTTACATTTCTGTTAGTGATATTTTGTTAGCCACCACATTTCTTCCGGTAATTGTATTAGTTAGATGGAAATGTCACAGTTCGAACTATGAAATGGGAAGAAAACAGTACACTAGTGATAGTGACATAGACCACTTAAACACCACCATCAAGATATTCCTGCAACCTTAGTATACCTAAATTCTCTGCCTTCATTCTGATATCAATTCCAGCATTCTAAAACCTTGTCTACTCCTCCATATGAACGAGCAGCTAATAAGGCATCAAAACCACCGCATGAAAGTACAAGGGTTGCATAGATTCAACAGAACACAATGAGCGACAGAGATTAATGATAGACTGCGCTTTCACAAGGCTCGATACGACGGCTACTTCGCCGGAGACATTCGTGCCTCAGGAATGAGTTACCCAGGTGTGTAACTGAACAGCGAACCCTCGAGATTGTATTAGCCACTCTCTGTACTTTCCAAGAATGAGGTGTGGTTCAAAAAAATTTTGGTAGTGTTAATGATCGTCTTGGATCAGGCTAACCAAACTGAACAATTTGAATATTGGATTTCAACGCAGTTACTTATTGCACTTATTACTTACTTACTTATTGCAGTTCCAATCACCTTACAACTCCCTAGGTAGAAAAAGCAAGAACTACAATTGAATCAATGAGCTTTAAAAACAGCAATGTTCCTCGTAAACATATTCTGAATGGAGCCGGTATTAACGAGTCTGGCAATTGTGCTTCGCACAAACGCCATACAACCAAATAGATAAACGTTTTTGTTCGAGTACTCCAAGCCCCAGAAAATCTCGGTGTTACGGAATCGAGGTTAGGTAGATCCGAACTACGGCATGATGAAAACTTCACTTCAGGACATGATCGAACAGAGGAGGCAGAAGAAAGCACCCATGACGAACATCAAAACCAGTTTCAAACGAATCGTCCACATACAGAGGTGGTGAAAAAAACAAACGCATTTCTGGATTTTCAATATCTGAAGTTGATTCAAACTGTAGTTGCTGACCAACGATGTACGACAGCATTAGACCGTTTGAAGCAAACTGAATGTTAAATTAGAGCTGAAACCAGAGTGGAACTCGATCTACTATCACCATTCAAGCGGGATTCAGTGCAACATCATGCAAATTGACGCATTTTATGACGATGGGTCGAAAGGTATTTGCGTGATTGGTTATGTTCCAGATTAGTGACACTTCCATAAACAAATATAGTGAACCGCAAAAACATGACCCGCACTAGGAGTGGAACACTGGCGCCATGACAAGAGTCGAAGCAGCCCGTTAAGCCTGATATATTGTTCCATTCAACGACGAAATAAGCTTCCACGACACTGGTTTCTTAAACATAGGTCCAGGAAACAATCCAATCGTTACAGCTGAAGTAATCTATCTGGTTTGGGATCACCTGGAGTACGCCTTAGAATGACTGATTCGTGAGCGCCTATTGTAATATTGCATACAATTTTACCAGTGTATAGCCAACCGCAGTCTGCTGACTACGGTTGATACACGTCAACTTGACTGAAATTAGCTTATCATTTGAAACAGTACCCACTTGTATTTGAAGGATAGTTTCGCATACCAGATTTAGGGAAACCACTTTCCATCAAGGTGATTTTAATAACACGAATAACGATTTAGCTCACACTAACAGCACGATGTGATCAAGTCGCTGTGGTAGGCGCATAAAATTAAAACCAACAAAGATTCGAAGAACACGCATCTACAGTTCGGAAAAAATGGATAAGCAGCCGGCAACAAACATGGTAATGTAGCGGCATATAGTGGCGGTAGGTACCGTTGAAGAACAAGAGAACTGGACTCGCAAAAGAGTAAGAACCAAATGTCGATAGAAACTTACAATCGCGACCGACAAGGGCGGCTGAGCGTAACTCATTCATGCTGCTGGTAATTCCGGTAGCGGCTGCGGGATTCAATGTAGCTAAGTTGTTCAATTTTTGCAATGTTTCCTGAATCTGTTCAGCGTAGTGCTCAGCGGTAGCGTGATCCCCACGCGCAATCGCTTCTGCTGACGCGACTTGTTGCATGTGTAGTTCAGCTCGCAGCTGCATTTCTGTTTGGGCGCGATTTTTGGCCTCAGCCTCTGCTTGAGCGGCCAACGCTTCTTCTAATGCGGCTTTTAACTCGGGGAACAAAGCTTCCCGAACACTCTGGAGCACACCTGAACCGGACATACTGACCATGAGATCAATATGATGCACAACAAATAAAGGCTCTTCTTGGCATTGGTAAGGAAAGTGTGCCAGATTATCGGCAACATAAATAAGTTGGCTCAGCATAACCCGAGTTCCACTAGTCTGAAATGCAAAGAAAGAAATGGTAGTGAGATGGGTTTACATACCCAAACGAAAATTGTGGGGAACTTGACGAACATGCCTTAAGAGAGGATTTCTGTTGAGATCACAAAGGTCACAAATCATAAAGCAGAACCGAAGTAGAACATGTAACCAGAAACAACCGATGAATAAGCGGCAAAAAACTAAATAATTTAGGTAATCTGTTAGCTATCAGAAATCACAATGGGAATTCCGGCTGAACAGTCAAATGACACTTGTAGGTTTCATATCATACAGGTACAGAAAACCCGTTGGGTAAACGGTAAGGTCCCCAACTATAAGTTTTACGGGAAAACTTTGCAGTCATTTCTTCCACAGTTTGAAAACTGAGCCGAAATGACATTTTCCGTAAGACTGCGCAGTTTTCCAATCATCTCGTAACTGTCGATTATATGCAACAGTGAATCTTACCACCTTTGCTTTCATTACTAATCAGTGATCAGCTTTTGCAATAGTTCTCAAGGACATACGCGTTGGTCCCACAAAAAGTAGGTAGTTACTGATGTTCCGTTTTTTTCAAACTGCTCGGTCAAAACATGCTTACCACATTTTCTTGTTGTGTCCAAGCTAGTGGCTTCGAATCTCGCTCGTTGTCCGTCGTTTTCTGAGTTCTAGTAGCTCTGACGTCATTACAGACAACGGATTTCCCTATATTCAATCTAATCATGCTGTTACATCAGGTTAGACGCTCCTTGCGATCACGATCAGTGTTTCGGGTTTTGTACCTGGGTTTCGGTTTCATATTGTGTGTATCGTCCCACGGAGAGATTTATCTTATGTTTTGTGCTGTCGAAAAAGACGTGGAGGGATAATACCAAACGGATCTGAAACCAGGCTTGTAGATGTATTTTGAGGACTGGCAAGAAAGAAGCTATTTTCAGAAGCACTGATCGGATAAGGATTCAATTACGTTTGATCCGCCTTGGATAGTAGTAGTAGTGCGATCCTCAAAGGGCAAACCATCGTGTAGGTAACTTTCTAATGTTAACATATTCTCTATCGTCACAGAGAAATGCGTGCTCCAAACTCTCAGGAAAATTATCCATGACCGAGTAAGGCTTCAACCACTGAAGAACATTACCACCTAGGCTTCTATTACGACTTAGGGCAATCAAAAGTGGATGAGGCAAAAGGATTTCACATCACAAATAAAAACTCCAAATTTAGTGTACAGTGACAATCGACAGTGTTTATTTTAGTGTATAAAATGATAAATTACCAAAGATTCCTGTAGAAGGGTTGAAATATAGAGACAATCCTAATACGGTCATTAACAGTAACTCTCACCTGAGACTCATCGAACAGAGCAATCAACCCACTCAATAGGGACCGACGTTGACCTCGGTTTCCCCGTAACATAGCGTAAAGGTTGGAATTGAGTGCTGCTGGAATATCACTCAGTGGATCGCGCGTACCGCGGATCGTTTCGAACAGACTTTCCAAAGAGTCTGGATTAGAGGTAGTTTGTTCGCTGCTCGGCTTGGAAACTCGGGGCTGTTCAACACAGTTAGAATCGATCGTATCTGAGTCACTAGCCGTTTTGTTGCGAGCGCTGCGTCGTGTGGACTGAGACGAAGCGAGGGATTTATTAGTTGAATCAGGTGACTGCATAGACTGTGATCCGACGGTGACTGATTTTGCCTTTTGGCAAACCACTTCCAAGGTCTCCGGATGCAGGATATACTGAAGTCGGTAGGAGTAATTCACACCTTGGATCGCACGCATCTGTGAAAAGACGATAGCACAATAATAGGGTAAATGAGTCATTCAAAGATTAACTTATCGGGTACCAAACTAAAGTGTTAATAATTCAACTCATATGACTTCAGTTCGAAGGACTGTAGGATAAACTGAGTGCCGACAGAATGAATATATATATATATATATATATATATATATGAACACAACCGACGGTAGAACAGATGCAAAAAGGAAAGAAGCGAAGCGAAACTTACACTGATGAAGCCAGGAAACTTATGATCAATCTCTTGCAATTGTGCATCCGCTTTCACACGGACATTAGAATCGAGATCAGTTTGCATAGCGATCAGATACGGCACGGTTTGCACAGGATGAATCAAACCTTGACGCAATATGGTCGCTACAACAGATAACGCAGTGAGGCGAACCGTGACGAAAGGAGAGAAGAAAGTTTCCAATGTATCTTTTAGATAGGTTTGGGCAACACAGCTGCCCATCCCCGAAGCTACATCACCCATCTCTTTTAGCGACTCTTGATGCTGTCTTGCTTTCCCTGAAAAAGTAAGAGAACAGTTTCATGAAATAATAAAAGCATTTAGATTACATAGTTATGTGAAATGGCTGAATTTGATATATCAATAGAGGATCATATACTTAATTACGAAAGGTTATGGAACAACGTATATCAACAGAATACACGTTTTAAAGCAGTTTGTTCTTAACACAATGGTAATATTCGATTGGCGGCTACACTAATGCCTCGTACCTATTCCTGATGTGTAAGCATTTTGTTCAGTCCCAAGCTTTTATCTGTTTCGTGACTGCATTTCGTTGCAGTGCCGCTGACCGTGCCGCGCAAGATATCTAATCCCAAAAATCATGTCTGGAGGACTAGATAGGCGATAACAGAAATTCACAACCCTCCGATCGTAGATCGGAGTCATCCATTGGGCTGGTGAAATTGACGGAGAAATGAGTAATAAAAACAAATGAATCTACAGTTATCCGCAG